GGGTTCCAAATCCCTTAGAGAAGAGTGGTGATTACTGTAGGTCATTGCTTGGCTCCAAAGCCGTCACTGCCAAACTCCGACACTCCATGAATTTTGAAAAATCCTGACCCAGATCCTTGAAGCTCCAATTGCAGATGAGCTATTGTCCGAACTTCTAGTATCCCCCTTCTTCACCCCTATACTGCTCCCCCATAGAATCACCTATATAACCTCCTTTAAGGAGTTTAGATCCCTAAGCTCTAAACCCTAAACTCTAAACCCCAAATGTGTATTCCACCTGTAGACACCAGAGCTGAGCCCCAAATTATGGCCTTCAACGCTTTCGTTGCTTAAGTGTGAGTGGAGGAGTGGATCCTCATCATAGTCCGTATATAATCCCCATGATATAAACCCTAAACCCTAAACCCAGATAATTCTCCTTATATTCACTCCCCCGTAAGCACCGGTGCAATAATCTGTCATGGCCCTAAAGCCGAGGTACGAGGGCCAGATTGCTGCTCTGCAGCGGGACACCAGCACAGCCTGGCAGCGGCCGCTCGGTTTGGCGCAACGATGGGCATGTTAATGGGCTGAGCACAGGCATACAAAGAGAGGGTAGGAAAGTATCATCATGATAATGCCGATGAGATAATGATGCCGGTGCTGGTGGTGGCTGATGGTGATCATGTTGATGGTTGTAGTTTCAATGATGTCTGACAAGCTCCCTGCAGATAGCGTCAACAACAGTTCACAAATGGCAGTGATTTAGATGGTAGGCAGGACGCAGCAAGACTTGCATTTGCAGTCGGAATGTTAAGAAGCATCATCAAGACTGTCATCGCAGCACCGTTAATGCCGGCTAGGTAGGATTCTTGCATAGGACTTGATACAGGGATGTCCTCAGACTGGGACACGTTTTGGCCGTGCTTGCGAAGCGTGATGAGTTGAGCCCAAAATCCTACAGGGCAATCGCTGGAGCCACAAACTTTGCCTCAAAGGGAAACCTAAGTTTTTCAAGTACAAACCTGAAAGCCACGCCCCTCGCCTGCTGCAGGTCCCTGTCGGCCGTCAAGTTGGTCCCGCTGGTGTCGCTGTTTGATTTCAAGGACCGTGTGTAGTGGTGGAGCAATAATTTCAAAGCTTGAGGTGCTGATATCTTGTTTGCAACACAAGTTCAGATCCAAATAGGGGTCGGATGCCGTCAAATGAAATCTAGGGGCTTAAGCCTCAACCTGGATTTTCATCAAATCCTCATTCAAGATGTCAGTTTCGTGCCCCTGTTGGTGTTTGCTGGATTTTGTTTCGTGTATGTTGTTGGCCTGGGTGGAAAGGTGAACCCAGGAATTCTGATGTCAGAAGATCATCGGTTTGTGGGTTAGGCCGACAGGATTTATTTCAGGAAGGCAGTTTCGACGACGAAGTCTGAGCCTCCCGCTGTGATAGTGGGAGGCGAGGGCTGGCGGCGATAAAGACGACAGAGGCGAGGGTTCCGACGACGAAGACGACACAGTCTGAGCCTCCCGCTTGATAGTGGGAGACGAGGGCTGGCGACGACAGCGCTGGAGGAGGCATGCCAAAATTGTGGGTTCGCGGCTTAGGCCAGAAGTTTTTTTTCTTCCAGAAACCTTTAATGCAACCTAAAACTAGGAATAATGATAAGCCTAAGGGGGCAAGGTGTCTCGAATGAAAATTAATCTTATGATTGTGCTATAGGATTTTTTCCAGGTTGGAAATCGTCACCAAGCAGATATCGTTTTTCGACCCGGATAGGAATACAAGGGAAAATCTGGGTCATCCATGCAAGGCAAGACACAGAATTCAGCCACCCTCCAGCAAAAAGTCAGCATTTTTTTTGCGGACAATTCGCAGATCTACAGCTAGCAGAATTTACGAGCCATCGCCATGGTAAGGCCCTTTCCTTGTAAGCCCTAAATCCTAAACCTTACACCCAAAACCCTAACCCCACGCGCTTAACCCTTAAGCCTGCCAGGATCTCCCAAATACACTTCGACCTTGCTGGGGTTGGAAGGGGCCATGGTGGGGGTATCGGATAGACGAGGGTTCAGGTGTAGGGTCACATGAGAGCCTTAGTCCCCAAACTCTCAGCCCTGAACGTCTGCCTTGAGCCTTAGGTTCCTCAAGGATCCCAGTACCTCTTAATTTAGGAACATTCCTTACATCACATCAAGGATCCCAGTGTCATGCACAGGGTATTGGGCTCTCTTGTTCTAAGCTCTGAGCCCTAACAAACCCCAAGCCCGAAAGCCCAAACCCTAAACCCTCAACCCTAAAACCCTATACCGTAAACCCTAGACCCTAATCCTCAAATCTCAACTTCCCAAACTGGGCTGGTGAGGAGTGCGATGTTGAAGCTGTCGCTGGCAAGCTGTGGGAGGCAGCCGCGGAGAAGGTCGGCTCCAATGGTGACTTGGGTTTAAGCAGGGTTCAGCCCTTGCTTCTTTTGCACCAATCAGAACACCTGCTTGGGTAGGAAAGGCTAGACCCTAAATCCAAGACTCGTTTTGTTGCTTCAGTTAAAAACAGTGCTACGAAGCCCTGGCTGAATATTGGAAGGCGCATTTATGAATCGAGGGCAATTCTGGGGTCCAGATAATAACTATGTTAGATCTGTATTTAGCGTCTAATGTGAACCCTATGCTGGGTGGGGCACAGCACTACTTTTGTTGAGCTTGCAAAGCCCCCTCCAGCCTGGCAGGGCTTTGAAGTCCTCAGATACTGAACCGCTTCTTGGTGTGGACTTGTTCTTGCTATGAGACGCATACAACAGTACTGTCATATGTTTCTTCAAACTTCACTGCCCGCCTTTAAACCTTAGTCCTATTCCGCACACCATGGACTGTAAGTGCGGTTGGTGCTTTTTTTTTTTTCCTTCTGGCATGCACCATCAGCTTGACTCGATTGTCACTGAATTTATGCCGTATACCAAAACATGCAGCTGGCCGAGGTGAGTGCGTGCTAAAACGCGTGTGGCTGCGATTCATGCAAAGTCTGGGAAGGCTCTGCTTGGCAGAGGCGGCCGTGTATGAGATCTGAGTCCTCCCTGTGGGTTATAGGCTTTCCAACATAACCCCACATGCAGCATTCCCAAAATCCTTGTCATTCCCAAGAAATGCTGTATCTTGCTTGGTCTTGTTGCCGCTCGCATCCTGTTCCAGTGTGCAGTTCCCGGAGAAGCTTGAAATCTCCAGGTGGAGCATGCGTTGAATGCAGCAATGCAGGAGGCGGGGGGTTATAGAGCTCATTGGTTGTCGCGCATTTCATGGATCGCTTCATAAGCAAACAGCAGGAGGGTTAGGCCGGAGCGTTGTTTGTCGGACTGCTGGACATGGACGGGTGTCGATCAAATCCTTGTGAACGTTGACCATTGTTGTGGTCTGTATCATGTGATGATGATGATGGTGATGATAGCAATGACGAGGATCGCTGAAACTTTCGACCGAACTGATCATCGCTGTAAAGATGTGTTTGTACATGTCTGTTGCTGCTGTTGTTGTTGTTTGTTTGTTTGTTTGTTTGTTTGTTTGTGCGCCGCCTATGAGTGGCGAGTTCGCCACCTCTGAGTGGCGTGTTGCTATGTTGAGCGTAGGTTTAGTGTCTATTTTGTTGCCTCTGCTGTTCTGCATGCGATCCACTCGCTCTTTCACTTGCCATATGATATTTCTCATCAATTTCGTCGTCTGAAGCCCCCAAATACTCCATACTTAATTAGGAAGCTCCCGTGGCTGCGCGTTTGTGTGACGACTAGTCTGGTTTGCACCGCTTGGCAGGTGCCTTTTCAGTAACGATGAATGCTTTACCTCGCGACTCGAAGTGGTGCACCAGCGTAAATGCTTGCAACAACCAAGTGCATGATGATGCTGATCATGATGGTGATGAAAATGGTGAACAGGAGGAGAGCAGGCGGGGAGGATGGGCAGGAGCGGGGGGAGGGAGCCAGTCAGTGAGCGCATGAGTGAACATGTAAATGTTTGTTTGCTTGCTTGCTTGACGTCTAGATGCTGTCATTCGTATGTACAGACATGTTGCCACAACTTGTTCTGGCGTGTGCCGCCTTAAGGGTTTAGGGATT